ACATGATAGCAGTTTTCAGATATCTAAAAGGGTGTCATAAGGAGGAGGGAGAAAACTTGTTCATCTTGGCCTCTGGGGATAGAAGAAGAAGCAATGGGCTTAAACTGCAGCAAGGGAGGTTTAGGTTGGACATTAGGAAAAAGTTCCTAACTGTCAGGGTAGTCAAACACTGGAATAAACTGCCCAGGGAGGTTGTGGAATCTCCATCTGTGTAGATATTTAAGAGTAGGTTAGATAAATGTCTATCAGTATTTGGTACTGCCATGGGGGCAGGGGACTGGACTCGATGACCTCTCAAGGTCCCTTCCAGTCCTAGTATTCTATGATTCTGTGATTCTATGTTTGTTCTTATTTCCATTGTAATGTTCAATAGTTACAAATGGAGGGGCAGGGGACTGGACTCGATGACCTCTCAAGGTCCCTTCCAGTCCTAGTATTCTATGATTCTGTGATTCTATGTTTGTTCTTATTTCCATTGTAATGTTCAATAGTTACAAATGGAGACCAGAATCTGCTTGCCAGCTTTTTGCAAGAGATACTGAAAAGTTTCCCTCTTGCTCTGCACTTCTTACTATATCTGGGCTTACCAATCGCGGATCTCCAAAGTGATATATTTGGCTCCTTGTCTCCGGTCACATCATTTGTCCGTCTTACATTAGGAGACACCGTTTCACAACTCTTTCCTGAACTCCACCCCAAATAGTGATATTTTACCACTTTGTGATGTATCCTATCTCACAGAACTTACCTGCCTCTCTCAAACCTGCCTGGCAGCACTTGGACCATCTCTGTAGCTACATTAACAGTAGCATTTGTCAAATGCCTATGCTTTTAGTCCTCAGTGACTATGTGGCACTCTCAATCCTGGCACCTATTTTCCCAATCACCCTTTGATTCTGCTCCTACCTATGGTCTCTGAGGGAGAGGTAGTACCCAGCGTGCATTTTATTCTAATGGTTCTCATTTAAATGGACTGCTGCCATAACACATACTCTAAGATCTAGAATAAACCCCTGTGATGAATAAACCCCTGTGATGAGCTTATTCAACCTCAAACACCACTCAGCAACCAAAAGCAATTGTGTCAAAAGAAGATGAAAGTCACATGTTGGGAGAGATGAATGCTCTTTTTTCCCCTGGCAAAGTGAAAAGTTTAAACAGCTCACAAATGTTTCTGAACAGAGTCATTGAACAACTGGAACTATGAAAAATTATCATACTGGTTATGATGAATTACTCCTCCAGAATGCTGACAAATACAGTAAAGCATAGAGAAGAGGCTTTGCCAGGAACAAGTGAAGAAGTAACAGAGACGGGTGAGTGGCAAAATTAGATCCCTTATTTGCGAAAAAAATCCAACAAAGGATTCAGGGAACACAATGCTGGTCAGCCTGGCCTCACTGGAAATGGCTAGAGGTAAGATTCTGGACACTTTGACCAAGAACACAATGTACTTTTTTGCAAGACTTTTTGTTGTGTGCAATGAAAAGAAAGTCAGTATGCTATTGATAGCCAAAACAGCATGTGAAATTAATCAGTTGGAGTTCTTTGGGGCATATAAGTGAATTGGAAGATGGAAATAAAAAAGTGTAAATTCGGTGTTTGTGGTTTAGATTTGCTTATAATGTTGCCCTGTTCAAAAGATTGATTTACTCAGAACAGTGGGCCAAACTCTGCTTTCTCTGGTAAATTTGGCCCCCGCCCCTATGAATGTCAAACTCATCCAGTAAGAATAAGTGGAAGGATTCACTGTGCAAAGGAGGGGCCTAGATTCCTGAATGGTAGCATTGACTGAGACAATGAGAGAGGGACCAAAAATTACCCTTTCAAGGAAAATCAACTCTTCAGGGTGGAGATAAGTAACTGACCTGCTTGCTGTAGGTTGTAAAGAAATAGTATGGATGGCTGCAGTATTTAGGAAACAGTTAGGGTCATGCAGACGAACAACATAGCAAATGCATTCAAAACCATTTGAAAATGATGATGGCTCAATTTCATCATTCCTCTTACAGCAGTTTCATGACACCTTAAGTGCTTGATCTGTTCAGTGATAAACTTTATAAATTGCTGCAAGCCCTCTGAACACATGACTCCCAATAAATCAAATGGGAGTTTTGTTGTT